AGAATAAGGGGTTCGGCTCTGTTGGACCAAATCAAGTTGGTCTATGTGGAGTATCACATTTTAGATTCAAATCCCTGTTAAACCCTCTGCTTAGGCTCGTGGTTAACAATATTTTTATATCTGTCTGCAGAGATGACAGGCAGCCCAGCTCTCAAGCGAGCCCAGAGGCCTCTGCGCCGCTGCTTTTAGAGGCAGGCTCCACAGATAAAAGGCAGAAATCCCACCACCCCAGTGTCTCCTGATTAGCCTGGAGAAAAGCTGAATGACAAACATGTTTCCAATCTGCCTGGCCCATGCAGGGAAATGGGGCAATCTGGCCTGAAAAGGGATTTAGACTTTTGTTGTGTGCAAGGGAGGGGGGGATGGAGGAAAAAAGCTGATTTAAATCCGTCTACAATGCTTCCCACTTGGTGATCTCTTAGATAAGGAACAGCCTGGCTGCGGTTCAGACCCCTGCCACGCCCGTGCATCTTCCCCGGCCTGCCTTGCCACTGGGTACTCTGGCTCCTCTTGCACAAAGTCAAATACTACCAAGATTACCACGATTGGTCACTTCAGAGCACTCACTTGTTCTGCCAGAATCTTACGATGTGTTTGTTGATTAATAAAATTGGGGCCTACAGTAAAATTCTCTCTAGACTTTTCAGACTAAAATAAGAATCAGGAACAGATTAAACATTACCTGGTCAACTATTTTGATACTTATGCTACTAGTACTGTGCACTGGTTTTTTTTGTTGTTGTTGTTGTTGTTGTTTTTGTTGTTGTTGTTGTTTTGTTTTGTTTTGTTTTTAAGAAGTATAAGATACTACATAAAATGATCACAAGGCCCGTGTGGCAAATATTGAATTAAAGGTGTGATTTGTTATTGGAGACTGCCTTAAAACAGAATATTTTTGTTTCTCTCTTTCTAGTAGATATTGAAATTACATAATTGATACAGTTTCTTTTAACTGTAGGAGGCAATAAATCAATCACCACACTGTGTTACCTAACTGTAAGTTCAAGTGGGCAGGGCTTAATGCTAAATATTTTATTTTTTTAAATCCACAAACCACATAGATGTAAACACTGTATTCTGGCTTTCCACAAATCGTCTGTTTCCTTTCTCAATGCATATGGTTGAGCATCATGTGAATGGAATAACGGGCAGGAAGAARTCTATTCCCTCCAAAGCTCTCTTTCCTAGGTATGGCGTGAATAGCAGCCCCTATAAAATGGCTGCCTGGGTGAAGCTGGGAGCTTCTTGCTGCACTGACATCAGTACAGTGCTTCCTCAAACACAATCATCAAGACAGTCTGCAGTACCCTCGTACTGCTGCTGTATTTGAGGAACAGCATTCAGATGCAGATTGGTCTAAATCCTATCAACCCATTCAACCATGTGCCTGAGTGTGTGTGTGTGTGCACATGCTCATTTTTGAACATATATCACACATGTATTTACACTTAAGTTCTCCCTAGAACATTTAAAACCCCAACCTAACATGTCCAAATGAGGAGGAATGCTTATTTTCCCAAGCAACTTTGTCAATTGCTCTTGTGCTCTTATAAATATTTCATAGCAAATATTTAACATGATTCCCCAATCGGATCAGCTTTGAAATGCTCCTCAAAGTGAATTCTCCCTTAACAATAGCTTGATGCAAAAGCCTTTTTCTTTTTTCTTTTCTTTCCTTTTTTCTCTTAAGCGCAGGGTCTGCTGCCATAGCAGCACGAACATTTTTTATTTAATGGAAAAGAAAAGATATTTTCCATTAATTCACTAGTTGGTGAAGGTGGGGGCGGGGAAGARTGCTGCTCCTGCGCACCCCACCTTGGGCTTCCAATATGGAGGCACAGCCTACCTTGACCTCCCCTCCCCCAGCATGCTTGCGATTATTAGCCAGCCAACATTAGAACTGTAATGGGAAGTGACAAGTTTATGTAAATGATCCACATACGGATTTTGCTCTTGTAAAACAGAGCAGTTACTTTGGGCTTTCTAATTATTTCATGCCTTGTGGTTCTCTGATGGGGCAGAGATGACTATACTTGAAAAGTACCCTGTGATTGACAGACTTCTGTCCCCCTGGAGCTCATTAGGGCTTCGGCTTTGGACGATGGGAAATAACCCTACCAGGCACCAAAAAAGAAGAGCAAGAGAAAGAGAGAGAAATTTACCCCAGCACCAGTGGCTCAGTAAATTCATTTGTTCAAATTTTGTTTTGTTGGGGAAACAACACTGTCAGGAAAGTGCACTATTACCTTCCAGATCCTACCAGACTCTCTGCTTCCGTGCTTTTGATTTTTAAAAGCTGCATTTAGAGCCACTCAGGCTGTATGATGGAGAAGCTGAGAGTATACAATACCAGTAGTATTTTCACAATGAACTACATTCTCAAGAAGGAAGTAGGGAAGAGAGGGTTGGGAGGGGAGCAATAAGCCATCTAGAGCAGCTACAAAATCTAACTGGACTCTAGTTAGGGTTGTCACTTTGCAGACACAGCATGACCTGTTCCTAAGTCAATTCAGCAGAGAAATCAATGAAGGGAATAAACAAAATGGAATAATTGATTAGGAGAGTCTGGCTACCCCCTCAGTAAAAATACACCCTGGCAAGAAGAGAAGAAAGGGCTGGGATGGGAACAAGACTGCAAATATACCCATAAAGCTGGGAAGACTTTGACGTTCATTTATTTTGGCTTCCCTTTTATAGATTAAAAAATAAAGAAGCAGAGCAATCACACAGCTGGCTAGCAGTATGGCCAGAACTAGACTGTAGCTTCCTACCTAATACCCATTTCTTTGTGGAAGAACTAGGAAGAGGTAGGATCTGGGGATATAAGTGCCATAGTTTGGATGTTGAATGTAACCCAAAGATCCATGTGGTAAATGGTCAGTCCCAGAGTAGTGCTGATGGGAGGTGCTAGGGACCCTTAGGAGGAGGGGCCTATTGGGAGGTTTTTAGGTCATTGAGGTGGGCCCCTGTTCTCTTTCCTCTTTTTCCTTTGCTTCTGGACCAAGAGGTGAGCAGTTTCGATTTACTGTGTACTCCTGCCATGATGTGCTGCCTCACCACAAGCCCAAAACAATAGAACCAACTGATAATTGACTGGAACCCCCCAAACTGTGGTCCAGAATAAACCTTTTCTCTTCATAAGTTAGTTATCTTAGCCATTTCATGATAGTGATGAAAGGCTGATTAACACACCAGGTGACATGATACCTCCAATGAGTAAGATTCCAAGATGAGGAAGCCAAGTTCTATTACACAGTCCAAGTATAGTGGAGGTAAGAATTCTACCCACAACACTTGAATTAATAAAAACTGGAGGATTCTACCAGKGGTGGTGATACACACCTGTAACCCCAGCTACTTCTAAGGCTGAGGCAGGAAGATTGCAAGTTCTAGGCCGGCCAGGGATACTTAGTAAGACCCTGCCTCCAAATAAATAAAAAATAGAGCTGGGATGCAGTTTGATGGTAGGGGGTTCCTGGGTTCAATCCCTAGTACCACATAAATAAATAAATAAATAAATAAATAAATAAATAAATAAATAAATAAATAAAATGAAACATTCTTTATATTTCTGTAACTGACCTTGATCTTAGGTCACATGCCACTGAAAGTAGTAAGAAAAACAAATACTTAAACTTCTTTTTTTCCTATAATCTTACATTTTATATTTTTTTGGTTCTTTTTAGTTATATATGACACAAGAATACATTTTAATATAGTTACATAAGCTTGAAATATATCTTATTCTAATTAGAACCCCTGTCTTGGGAATGTATACAACAGTGGGACTCACTGTGGCATATTTCTATTATGTACAAAGGAAAATTATGTCAGATTCATCCATTGTGTTTCCTGTTCTTATCTTCTCTCCCTTCCTTTCATTCCTCTTTGTCTAATCTACTCAACTTCTATTCTTCTACTTGACCTTTGGCTTTGGGGACTGGCGAAAGGTCAGGATCTAGTCCCTAGAACCATCCATCCATTTACTGGCAAATATAAAATCATTCTTCTTTATCACTGATTATACTCCATTGTGTATATGTATACCACATTTTTTATCCATTTATCTGTTGAAGGGCACCTAGGTTGGTTCCATAGCTTAACTATTGTGAATTGAGCTGCTATAAGCATTGTTGTGGCCATGTCACGATAGTATGCCGAGTTTAAGTCCTTTGGATCTATGCCAAGGAGTGCAATATCTGGGTCAAATGATGTTTCCATTTCTAGTTTTTTTGAGGAATCTCCATTCTGCTTTCCAGAGCAGTTGCACCAATTTTCAGTCCTACCAGCAATGTATGAGTATACCCTTTCCACACATCCTTGCCAACATTTATTGTTACTTGTATTCTTGATAATTGCCATTCCGACTGGAGTGAGATGGAATCTCGGGGTAGTTTTAATTTGCATTTCTCTAATTGCTAGGGATGATGAATATTTTTTCATATATTTGTTGACCATTCATTTTTCTTCTTTGGAAAAGTGTCTTTTTCAGTTTCTTTGTCCATTATTGATTGGGTTATTTTGTTTTTTTGGTGTTTTTTGATTTCTTTATATATCCTAGAAACTAACAACCTATCTGAGGTGCAGCTGGCAAAGATTTTCTCTCATTCTAAAAGTTCTCTTTTCATGCTCTTGATGGTTTCTTTCATTGTGAAGAAGCTTTTTTGTTTGATGCCATTTTTCTATCCCATTTATTGATTATAGATTTTGCTTCTTGTACTTAGGAGTCTTGTTGAGGAAGCTGGTTCCCAAGATGACATGACAGAGAATTGGGTCTACTTGTTCTTCTAGTAGGCTTAGGGTCTCTGGCTAACGTCTAGGTCCTTGATCCACTTTGAGTTGAGTTTTGTGCAGGGTGAGAGGGGTTAAATTTCATTCTGCTACCTATGGATTTCCAGTTTTCCCATCGCCATTTGTTGAAGAGGCTATCTTCAATGTATGTTCATGATGACTTTGTCTGGATGAGATAGCTGTATTAAGGTGGGTTTGCCTCTGTGTCTAAAAGTATGGAGCACTTCACAAATTTGTGTGTCATCCTTACACAGTGGCCTTGCTTATCTTCTCTCGTTCCAATTTTAGTATATGTGCTGCCAAAGTCAGCAAACTTAATCCTCTTAATTAAAATAAGTTCAGTGTCTCTCAGAATAAAACACAACTTTCATTTTTTTTGAAAGGAGAGGGGGAGAGAGAGAAAGAGAGAGAGAGAGAGAGAGAGAGAGAGAGAGAGAGAGAGAATCTTTTTTGTAGATGGACACAACACAATGCCTTTATTTTTATGTGGTGCTGAGAATCGAACCCGGTAGAGCATGCTAGGTGAACGCTTTACCACTGAGCCACAATCCCAGCCCACAACTTTCATTCTTGTAGGTTAATTTTCCTTTGGATAAATATTCTGTCAAGTTCAATGGTCATTTGTCTCCTTTCAAAAGTTCCCCAATCTCCAAGTCTACTTCGTTGAGAGGATCATCTGGGCACATTGTGGGACTTTGTCATACCAGAGCAACAGGTGGATTCAAGCTCCGTGCTCTGGTTGCTTTCTGGCCCTCTGATGCCACTTCAGTCATGTCCACTGTCAGAGGCACAGGCAGACACCATTGTCCTTCCTCTCACCACCATGAATACAAGTAAATTTCCCTTGAGCCCAAGAAGCTATTTCAGAAAGGGAGAGGAGAATATTTACTCAAAATGAGATTGTGTTAAAGTAGAAATCACAAAGCTATTTTTTTTCCTATTTTGCAAATGTTGGTACTATCACATATCCTTACATTGTCCTTCCCCACCTCTATCATTGACGGTGAAAGGTTTATGAGGAAATTTGACTCTGCTATGAAAAGTAAAGTAATTGCCATTAATTGTACATGGGAGCCAAACAGAATAAATGTTTACTCTCTGCTATACATAAACAACACTGAGCCCAAAGATATAAGCGGAAATCATAAACTGAAGAAGCAGTAGATCAAGGTCCAGAAGAGCATATCAGTAAGATATAAGTAAGTGAAAAATACAGAAAGAAAAAGAAAACCATCTCTGCAACAGAGGCATGCTATGAAATTTCCAAGTTAAACAGTACCGAAAACAGGGAAAGCTGCCCTACTCGTGTTAGAAGGCTAAAAAAACATTAATTCTAAAATGAGTATGGAAAGCACGCGAGAAAAGGTTCCTGGTCTATTTAACTTATGAACATAGATGTAAATATTCTAAATGAGATGTGATGATCTAAGTAAATCTAATGATGTATTTTAAAAAACAAACCTATATGTAGCTTATCCTAGCAGTGTCACCGTGGTGTAATATCAGAAAGACTACATCAAAAGAGAAAAAGAAAATCTACCGACACAAAAGAATTTCATGAAGTTTTTATCTACTTATGATAAAACAATCATAGTTCTCAGTTGCCAGGAATAGAAGAGAATTTCTATCATGGGATATAGACTTATACCAGAAAACTAAGGTCAACAGGAGAGCAGGGAGAGGAAACTTTAGTCCTCTGAGGTTTGGAACAAAGCAAAGTTCCCTTTATCCCTGCTACTATTTAACCTATTTAACCTGTATTTGGATGTCCTTGCCAACAAGAATTTAAAAATAGAAGACAAGAAGGAAAAAAAAAAAGAATTGCAAGATGTGGTGGTTTAAAATATCTCCACATAGTCTGTGAAAGTATTTGAAAAAGTGAAGCCTGATGTTCTGTCCCTTTGAGTTTGGGCTGAACAAGTTGAGTTTGAGCTGAGCTATACTTACTGAGTTGCTTCTAACAAGTAAAATAAGGTGAAATAATGTTGATGCTGGGTCTTTTTTTTTTTTTATATCAGGGATTGAACCCAGGGCACTAAACTGCTGAGCCACATCCCTAGTCCTTTTTTTGTTTTCTTTTGTTTTTTATTTTGAGACAGAGTCTTGCTAAGTTTCTGAGGCTGGCTTTGAACTTGCGATCTTCCTGCCTTAACCTCTGAGCCCCTGRGACTACAGGTATGTGCCACCATGCCTGGCCTCATTTCTGACACTAGTCAGATCCTGGATTCCTGACCTCAGAGACTTTATGAAGATAAATGGCTGCTATTTTTAAGCTGCTAAGTTTGGGGACCATTGGTTAGCCACAATTGATAACAAGAGCATGGAAAAAATAAAAGATATTAAATCATCATTCATTTCTAACAATATGATCGTCGACATAGAAAATCTTACAGAATCAACAAACATTAAAACCAGTGAGATTTTTKATGAATCTGTCCTAATGTGGGATCAAATTATAAAAGTCAATAGTGTTCTATCTCAGCAATAACCCCCTAGAAAGGAAAGTACCATTAATAGTAGTAAGAGAACTATAATACATTTATTTAAGTCAACTTTACAATTAATGTACCAGACATTTATGAAAGAACATTAAAATTCTTTTAAGAGACATAAAAGAATACTGACCAAATAGAACCATATGCCATGGTCATTGTTGTACACTTGATTTTTAAAATATTTTAATTCTTCCTCAATTAATGTATAATTTCAATACAAAGACAAGAAAAATTCCAGACAGAATTCCCACCTGCCTGGATGGCTTGCCATTGCCTATTACGGGTCCCCTGAACACTAAATATCTTAAAATACTATGCTTTGCCTTTATTGCTGGAATTCCTCCAGTTACTTTCACCTGGGTCAATGTCAAGGGCCCATCTCACTCCAGGGTCCAGCTTCAGCCTTACATGCTCTGGCCCATCTTATTACTGAACTCAAAGCTTCTGTTGTGAGTTGAACAATAATAAGAGAGGGCCAAAGAGGAAGGGGAGAGGAGGAGGAGAGCTTTACAGAAGCACTTATAACAAATTTGGGTCCTGTGAAGACGGATCCCTTTGAAGACACCCACTCCAATCAGAATGGCAGCCACCAGGAATACAAATAATAAGAATCAGAGACAATGTGAGGGAAAAGGAACACTTTTACACTGTAGAATTGTAAATTAGTACGACCCCTATGGAAATCAGTATGGAGATTCCACAAAAGACTAGAAATGGAATCACCATATGACCCAGCTATATGACTCCTTGGTATTTACCTTGTAGAATCAAAGTCATCATACTACAGTGGCACGTGCATACCTGTGTACATAGCAGACACATTTCAGGCTGTCTCAACTGTCACATGTCATGGCAGAGATGGCCAAGCAGCCCAATCAGCCCTGGTGGTGGGGGGGGGGGCAGGAAGCGCATATGTGTTGGTACTATCACATATCCTTACATTGTCCTTCCCCCCACTATCAAGGGTCAGTATGCATAGGCCAAGCAGGCTAGGGGCTGCAATGCCATTGGGCCACCACAGCTTTGGGGACATTGGTTAGCAGCAATTGATAACAACAGCATTGAATACAGCTGGATCCCAAGCTACAGGGCATCCTCATCACCTGCAGCATGAAGGAGCACAAGTTCGAGGAGGAGGCCTAYAGCCTGCTCAGCAAATGCGGTGACTATATGTACTACCTGAAAAGTTTACAGACAGGGATCAGCAGCCCGATCAGCAGGGATCACAGACTATGTGGAAGTGAGGGAGAAGATGATGATGCGGAAGCTACATTGAAGAAAGAAGTTGGTGACATTAAGGCTTCTACAGAGATGAGGCTAAGAAGATTCCAGGCAGTGGAGAGTGGAGCGAATAACATCGTCTTCATCAGAACACTTGGGATAGAACCCATGTTCACAGCAGCACCATTTACAAAAGGCAAACTCTGGAACTGACCTAGGTGTCTGTCAGTGGATGAATGGATAAAAAAAAAAAAATGTGGTACGTATACTCAATGGAGTTTTATTCAGCCACACACACACACACACACACAAAAGAATATTAGGCCATTTGCAGGAAAATGGAGGGAACTTGAGAACATTGTGTTAAGTGAAGTGAGTCAAACTCGGAAAGTAAAGGGTCATATTTTTTTCTATCATATGTGAAAGTTAAAAAGGAAAAAGAAAAACGAGTTGGTGGTGGGAAAATCTCATGAAAATGAAAGGAAGATCAGTAGAAAGAGACCAGGAGGGAGAGGAGGGAAAGAAAAGGGKAAATACTGGGGAACMTGAACCAAAATCCATTTTGATATCATGTGCACATAGGAATATGTGACAATAAATCCTACTATTATGTATAATTATAATGCACCGATAAAAATATGGAAAAAAATTTAAAAGAAGCCAAGAGACTAGATGAGGGAAATTGATTATCAATTTATTCCAATAAACCCATTACTTGCAATAATTAAATCCACTGGAAGTGAGGGCTTTTATGAAACATTTAGAAAATATATCAGAAAAAAGATGTCAGAACTGTGTGGTTATTTTAATTAATAGATCAATGCAAAAAACATCTTTATCGTCCTCATGAATGATATAGTCAGTTAAAAATTTATAAACTAGATTTGGTGTGGGGGAAGAAATAAACATGAAATGGGTCTCTATTTTAAAAAAAAGAAACAAAGGATCACCTCAACAGTAATTCTTTTTCTTAATTAGTAATGACAGGCTTCAGCTAAGAAGGAACACAGCTCAAAAAGGCCATCTGTAGCTAGGTTTTTATAAATCCATGCACCGAGTTCTGAAGTCAAGTAATAGCTCTGAAAAATTTGAGWCAATGAAAGGGCAAATGTTGGCCCCTCACCTAGAATCTGCCCTTCTCCCAACATATGCAGATCCTTTGGATTATTCTTCAACTCTGATGTCAATAGCTCTGGAAGGCACACCTTTTTACCTTTCCTTCCTCAGTCTTCACTAATTGGCCTTTCTCAATTCACCTTGTATTGTTTGTCTCATAGACCCACTGTACCACCCAAGTACAGTTTGTTAATTCATCAGTTTCTCCATGAGACTCTGAGCTCAGCTCTTTAAAAGTGGGAACTGTCTTTAATTTTTGTTTCCCAAAGCCCCAGTCCAACATCTGAAAGTCAACAATCTTCCAATAATATTCACTCAATGAATGAATGAGAATTGAATATAATTTCTACAAAAAGGTAACATGTGTGCATAAGGGACTAGTGTCACTGAGCTAGATGTAAAGGACAGGTATGAGGAGAGAATAAGAACAAAGGTACCAAGGAAAGTCATCAGAGACTGGAAAGACAAAGAGGTGGTAAG